TCTGAACTTTAAAATAAAAGTATTTCAGGGATCTAAAACATGTTATGTATTTATTTGTCCAAAAAATAAAATTAAAGGATAGAATTCTAATATACCTTAGTATAGATCTTTTTCGCTCCAATGACTTTGACATAGAAATGGCCCAAACCATGGTAAGCAGAACAAATTTGTTGCAAGAGAAGCCATTTCAATGCCTTGTTGAAGTGCATTCTGACACCACCTCCTCTTGCATATGTATATTCTTCTAAAATTTGTAACTCTCCAAAATATAACTCCTTAGACATGAGAAAGAAAAATTTTTTTTTTCCTTTACTAATGTTTAATACACATTCATTATCGCAGAAGGGGAAAATAAATGTTTAGTATGTTTGAGTTTTTTAAATAAGATAAAGGGAAATATGAGGGGAAAAGGCAAAAAAAGGAGAAAAAAAATAATTGAGTTTCTTGCCAAGAGAGGTGCCAAGTCATCTTTTCAATTCTCTCCTTTACAAATACAAATACAAATACAAATACAAATATATATATATATATATATATATGCAATACAGATAATGTCTTAAATTTATAGGAGAATAACAGTTATGTTTTGTCTTGTTGCAGTGAAAAGCAAATAAGGTAAGTTTAGAAAAACCTCTTAACAAAGAATAAAAGAAAAGTGCATTTGCTGACACTAGAAATATGCAACATCAGCTTTGTCGTTCTCTAACTTTATATAGATATATAAATTATATCGCTTTCCTATGTTTTGGTACATAGTTCATGCCGGGGTCAATGGACGCTTCACCACCCAGCGCGACCTACGTAGTAGTTTATAAACACCATAAATTAAAACGTAAAATAGAACAGATTTGTCCTCGTCGTTACCAAAATAGATTAGATTTGTCCATATTTTTAGACAGGGGAAGCCATGATGCCACATATCCCATAGTGATCAAAAGGATATTGAAAATCTAGCCCTTTGTTGTTTCAAAACAAAGGAAATCCATAAAATTGTCAGAGAAAATCAAAATTCAATAAAAATTTATTTATTTTACTACTCATTTCATTTATAGCAAAGACTAAAATCCCACACTTTTTAAGGTGAAAACAAAACCTCAAATGAACACTTTTAACTTTACCTATTTTATTCTTAATGAAAAGTTTTTATAACCGCACAAATATTATGAGCTTTTACGCTTTAAGGACCATAATTATTAAAAGTCATTTTTTCTTCTACATCGAGTTAAATTGTGTCATATAAATTAAAAGGGAGGAAGTAATGACTAACGAATCTAGTAATGTTGTTCATTTATTTCTCCTACTACTATTCTCCTTAATTATTTTAACACTAAACACCTTTGTAATATGACTCAGTTCTAAATACACCACTGATATTTTAAAATCAAACACTTACACCTCCTGTACTAAAGAAATCCTATGGTTACATTCCCTATGAGATATATCCTTTTAAAATAAAATTATTACAAGATAAATTAATAGATGAAATATTTTATGTATTTAAATTTTATAAAATTTAAAAAGAGTTTAAATATTTTTGTTAAAATAATTATTGAAAAAGAGAATAAATATTTTTGAAATATGTATCTTCTGAAATCTTAAAGAGGAAAATAACAGAAATTACTTAATAAGATGACTAAAATTTATATGTATTTGGCAAAATATTTTTATCTTTCAAAACCAAATAAAATATCGGTATCGCTATTTTTCTAAAAATATCTATATCTCTTATATAATGATTTAATTAAAATAAAAATTTAAGATAAATTTGAAACGGAAGAATAATAAACAAACTAAAATAAAAATGTGAAAAAAATATAATTTTAACTTATCTTACAATATTTATATTTGGTAAATATTTACAGTAAAAACATACTGGCAGCTGATGTTTACATCAAATAAATTGTAAATGCATACCACCTGATAATATTTGTAAATACATACTATCTAACCATGGTTAACTAATAAATAAGGGGGTGTATGTGTAGAATTTCTATAGAATAGGGGTATAAATGATTAATTTCAAAATACGGAGGGTGTATCGGAACTGGGTCATATTATATGGGCCGTTAGTGTAATTAACCTAGTCAGTTTTATACAAACAAAAAGGTTGAACCATTTCCAAAATCTGTACTTACTACAGTAGAGGTTCTATCTTTGACACGTGTTTGTCATGCATTTACAGGTGTTAAATTGCTAAGAACATGGACATTTGGCAAGAGATAGAATTCAAGCACATCTTATTATTTTTACTTTTGTTTGACGAAGTTTTTCTTGTAAATATTTTAAACTAATTGTGATTTATAATATTATATTTAAAGAAGAGGAAATACATGTATTCATCTTGTTCTTTCACCTAGGAGTGACAAATGGGCGGTTGGGCTGAATTTGGACGAATCAAAATGGGTTAGGTCAATAAATGAATCATTGCCTAACCCAGCCCAAAGTGTACTTTGGCTAAGATGGACTGGGTCAAGATGGGCTAAACAATGGATCATAACCTAACCTACCCAACTTGACCCATATTTTAGAACCATGTTCGTCTTAAATAAAAAGCTTTTTACCTTAAAAAAATTAAAAAAAATTGGGGGTGAGGGGTGGGGGTGGGTGCGTGGGTGGGAGGGGTTGGGGCGGGTGGATGGTGCAGAAAAACGAAAAGAACCGAAAATCAAAAATACAAAAAAAAAGAAAGTAAAATTAGGGCAACTAAGAATTTCTACATAAGTTGGGTTGAGATACCTTTTGTTCTGGTGAGTTTCATGGGTTGTATTTGGGCTGGTTAATGGGTCCGAATGGATTATAAAATATAATGAGTTAACTTGTGCTCAGGCCAAATTGACCCATGAGCTAAAATGTTTGTAGCCCAACCCATTAATCTCTGGGCGAGTTGGGCAGGTTTGGGCTCAAATTGGAGGCATTTGCATCTATACTCGCTTTTTGTGTCATGTTACTTGTGCCCGCTTTGCAAAAAAAATTGCAAGCGTACCCGCTTTTTCGCATAACTTCAGCATACGGGGCTGAAGTAGCAAAGGCAATCACACAAAACTTCAGCATTCTAGTAGCTAGGCCTGAAATTCAGCTCTAGAGCTGAAGTTTTTATTTTGTAACTTGCAAACTTCAGCTCTAGAGTTTTTGTTTTGTAACTGGCGAACTTCAGCTCTAGAGCTGAAGTTTTGTTTTGTAACTGTCGAACTTCAGTTGAAGTTTTGTTTTGTAACTGTCGAACTTCAGCTCTAGAGCTGAAGTTTTTATTTGTAACTGGCAAACTTCAGCCTTCTTAGAGTGTTTTAACTCTTAGACATCTGCGTTTGAGCTTTTGGGACATCAGCTGAAATCAAACGAATTAAAGACTCCCATTGATCCCTCCCTAAAGAATCACCCACAAACATCACTATTTTCTCTTTCTTTTTCAACAGAAACTCAAGCCCATTGAACCTATCAAGAAACAAAAACCACCCCAACAAATCAAATACTGCAGCACCCATCAGCAATCCATCAGCTAAAGGAAAAATAAAAAGAGAACAGCTATTGTATTTAGTAATAACAAAGTACGTTCATTAATTATGAACAAATGTTTATATAAAATGTTCAAGTAATGAAAACCACTGAGGTTCAATTCGTGACATTATTTCAAGAAAAAATTATCGAGTTGATTGATAACTTAGAATTTTAAAAAAATTTGTTCTATAGTAAGATAGCTTCTGAGGAATTGGGTGAAGCCACAGAAGGAGATATATTGTTACATCAATGTTAAGTTCCGGAGAGATATGGAGATCACTGGGAGAAGGAGGAGAAGAAAGAGGCTGAAGTTATTTAAAAAGTGAGTATAAATTAAAAGTTTTAAAAAAAAAAATGGGTATAGGTTAAATGGGGGTGACCAAATAGGACGCCCCGTGTAACTTTTACCTCAAATTGCCACTCCTACTTTCACCTCGGAGATGTATGTATAAGAAAACATAGATCGAACGTATACTTGCGTGACATAGTTAGTACTCAATTAATTATAAATCGTCGTAGATCCCTTGAAAATTATTTATTAATGGCTTGTTTGGCTAAACTTCTGGAAACGAAAGTGCTAATATAAGTGTTTTACATAGTAGCAAAAATTATTTTCATTCTGAAAAAATTTTAATTTTTTCGAATTAAATCTTAGTCGTGCACAAATAATACTCTATATTACAAATTAATTAGCCAAATAAAAGTTAATTACCACAAATCTCTTGTATGAATTTACAACTTTTATTTTCCTCATCTCTTGTTGTAACAAACAAGTATTTTGAATCGTCCAACAAAACTGAAACCTATACGCAGTTTTACAGTCAATATGTTAACTTGTTATAATAGGTAAAATATCTTATTTTAAGTTATGATACTATTTTCCAATTTTTTTAAAATAATTACTTACAATTGTCTTTTAGGGCAACTTTACAATGTAATTTAGTTTCTTTATGTCAGTGTTTAGGTGTTAATTAAGCTCAAAATATTACTGGCAAATATTATCCATTACTTAGTAAGTTATAATTAAGTTGATAAAAGAACTAGATATGAAAATACATAAAATTGCAACTCGCATATAACCATAGACTAACAGCTTGTTTGGATGGTTGTTACCTATTATTGTATTGTATTATTACTTTAATTATATATAATATTTTTATTGTTACTTAAATTTAATTATATCGTATCGTAAAATTTATCGTTACGTAATGACAAAAACACTTTATAGAATGATGGATTTGAGATAATATCATTATCTTACTTGTTTCCCTCATTTTGTCATTTTTTATTATTAAATAATTATATTTTAATATTTATTCTATTTTATTATATATGATAATTTTACTCCATTCTATTTTTTCTTAATAATAGTGCAAATTATTTTTTATATTATTAATGCATGACATCATGAAACATGACAAATGTTACAATTTATTTTATTAAATCAAACAATACAATACGATACATTATAAAACTCCAGGTGACAACCGCCCAAACAAACAGAATATAAAACACGAGTTACTCTAAATTGATAAGCATTAAAATAACTTATTTATTTGGAAACTTGAACAAAGAAACGATTATTTTCGACTTGAATTCTTCTTTGGATCTTTAACAGTTGCGAGTGCAGAAGCAACGGCGGCGGAAACCACGGCAGTTGCCGCCGATGAAACCCTCCGTCTGGCAAACGGAGGCACAGTTACTACCCCTAACACACGATCCATGAAAACGGTGGCTCTGTGATTCACAAGTCCTTGCTTCTGCACTTGTCATTGGTCCCATCTCTGTGAAATATGAAAACATCAAAAATCAAGAATTACAGTATAGTACAATATTAATATTAATGCAGGATTTTCATTAACGGGATTTAAAATATAAAAGTATTACCATACAAAATAATTTGGATATTGTACCCTTTACACACGAAGCCAAAAAATTCAAATATTTGAACACCATTTGTTAGTCGACTACGCAAGGGTATTCAAAGTCTAATTTTTTATCGACAACAAGAGATATTTTATCCTATATATAAAATAATTTTTCGACAAAGAGTATTCAGTTGACCACCCTTGTCCACATATAACTTTGCCCCGCTTTTAATCATAGTAAAATATTTCTATAGTCATAAAATTGACATAGCATATTCAAAACTATAACAACTTCTAAGAGTAATTTCAATATATGTTAAAAATGAGTTATTTTCTTAATTTTCTAAACTCTATACTCAATCAAACTTCATCATATATATAAATAAGGATTACTGAAATCTATCATATTTAGTTGCCTCATCTTGTAACAAAAAATAAAGAGGAAATCATTCATCAACTATTATATTAGAAAAGTTTATGGAGATAGAAAACGAACCAGTGGCCAAAAGCAGCATAGCTACAAGGAAGAAAGTTGCAAACAAACGCCCCATCTTATTCTTATTTGAGAGAGAGAGAGAGAGAAAAGGGGGATTGTGGGATATGCAAATTGTTTGGGAAGTTGAGTAATAGCTAGTTGGGAGTAGTAGGGGACTTTTATAGGGAAAAGTTTGTCCCTATCATATGTGTACACCACACCAATAAGAAATATGTTTTGTATACGCTAGTTCGGAACTAAAATGTGGTTCTTTTGGACTCAAAGAATTAAAATACGTGCGAAAAAAATTGGTGACCAAAATATATATAAAGCCTTAGCTAAAGGCGCTATACCTTAACGGCCGTTTGCCCAATTAAGGTACAACGCCTTTAGCTAAGGCGTTATACTTGAAATCAAACGGGCGGGAAAGTATAGCGCCCTAACAAAAGGCGCTATAGTATAAAGCCTTTTGTTAAGGTGCTATACTAACATAATTTTCCTAATTTACATGATCCACAATCTGACTATCCGGGGATGGAGATAGCGTGCCCTAAGAAAGTCCCACATATCGTTTACTCGTCTAGCACGGAACGTATGGGTCAATAACTGCCCCTCCCATATGTACGAAGACCTATGCTCGGCCTGTAGTAACAGTAGCTCTAGTGAGGCAGGTCCGGAATGCACAGGCTGAACCTCCATGACGATTACTGTAAATTGAACAATATTAATTAAAGTATTTTTCTTTTTTATTGCTTAACATCTTTAAATATATTGTAATATCTTTAGTATTAAAATTTATTTGATGTTTTTAATATATTGTTAATTAGGTTGATATTTTTATTGTATTATTAAAATTTATTCGATACATTTTTTATATTATAATTTTATATGTTATTTTATTATTTTATACGTTTGTTTGTTACTCATCTATTTTTGACTATAAGAAAATTAAATAATTAAGTTTCATAACTATAAAGGATTTAATTACTAAATATTCATATAACAATACTTAATTTGAGTCCAAATAAACCACATTTTGGTTCCGGACAATTTATCTATTTTACTAGTCTTTTAGCAAATAAATCATCCAAACCGGATAAAAACAACAAATTCATTTAATCACAAAACAATCACGAAAAAAAACATATACCGCAGTAAAAAGTAACTAATTTATTTATTTTTTTTAATAACTAATAACAATTTCTCTATTTTACTAATTTTTTTAGCACACTAATAATATAATCCGGATAAAAAATAATAAACTAATTATATCGCAAGACAATCATGAAATAACATAGAACACAGTAAAAACAACTAATAGGCATTTTTTATACATGAGTATTAACAAAAAATAGGTCGGAATACCTCGATTTAATATTTTTGAAAAGTTAAAGATTTGGTGATTTGGAGCCGAAATAAGCAACTAACTACGAGATAATGCCTTAGATACAATGTAGGACCAAAAATCTACACTTTTTATGGGACCAATGGGCTCCACTCGAATTTTTTTGAGTTAAAAATTGGGGGGAGGGGGGGCATTCTGTTTTTTCAATT